CGGGAGAAAGGAATTGTACCTACGGGAATATGTGGTCCTGGTGAGGGGCTTCAAACGGCGGTCTTGGCATCCGGCCACGGTGAATGGAGCAGTCAGTCAATGCCACGAGTTGCGATCTTTCCCCTTGAGATGCCACGAAGTTAAGTGGGATGATGTCTCCTAAGTCGTAGATCCGCTGCTAGTCTTATTTTTGGCGGTTCAAGAACATCCCGTCTGTCTTGGTCAGGTACTATCTGATGTGCAATGTGCATAGTCTCGCCTCGGTCTTTCAAGACACTTTTAGATGCATGTTACCTCGTATCGTCCCGGGAAAATCTCACTTACAATATGTAGGCAACTAGCTTACTAGTTCGTTGATGTTGGGGTCATTTCGAAAGTCCTTGTATACGAAAAGTAAATGGGCAATTGTACTACTACTGAGAGAGTCAAAAAAGGAATGAAAACAACAAATGCAAAGAAAAGCTAAAATACGAAGAGGTGAAGGGCAGCGCCCTGTACACGTGAATGCAGTCATGATGCAAGAGGCCCACTGCGGTGTTCAAGTCTCAGTACCACCTGCCTACCTACCTAGATCGGAATCGAAATTTACCTGAAGCTCCCTAGGCAATAACGTTCTCTCTACACACACACCAACACTTCCCTGATCACACCAACACACCCACCTCTCTTCTTTGCGTAATGCGACTCGAATTACGACCTCAAACGTGCGCAACAACCGACCTCCCATACAGCACTATCTCTGGACGTTTCATCTGGCATAAGCCCTACGATAACCAGGCGACTCGACCATATTCCAATAACAATAGCTTCAGGCGCAACCGTACGTGCCCTGTTTGCAGCCATCTATTCCCTCTCAGAAGCGAGCGGCAAGAACGATCCGGGCAGTGGCCATGGCTGGACTGCCTGACGAGCCTGGCACTTCTGCCACGACGACCTCGGACGCCCAATCACCGACGCTCGAAAACATGGATACTACAAATGATGCAAGCATGCTGTCATGTGATGAGATTATCGAGATCGACCCAGATGGAGATCTACTGCTTTATACGAAACCAGGCCCAGGGCTTGGAGGGCGTTTTAGATTCCGCGTGTGTTCAGCGGCGCTCCGTCGTCACTCGCCAGTCTGGAAAGCGATGTTGTTCGGACCCTGGAAGGAATCAAAGCCGGCAGACGACAGCAGATGGGCGGTTGAGTTTCCCGAGGATCCCGCCTACGAATTCCAGATTGTGCTCAACATCATACATGGCTTAGTCGATCGCGTGCCGTCGTCTCTTGATATTGATACTTTCTTCAAACTTCTCATCCTCGTCAACAAATACGACATAGCTCATATCATGAAGCCTTGGCGTACAAAATGGGAAACGCCAGCCCTAAGCAACCTTGTGGGACCTGATGTACTCAAAGGCTTACATATCGCATGGACGCTGGGATACGAAAGTCTTTTTATCGCCAGACTAGCACAGATTGCAGTTAATACCTGGGTTGATGGAGATTTCATTTTTTTCAGGGATTCCTCTACCATGGATCTTGATGGAATTTTCGTCGAAGATGAGGATTATCTTGGTCCGATGGATGTCATAGGTTCGTGCTCATTTTATGCCCCCTATCGAAGTCGTTGCTGACCTGTCGATAGATTTGATCTGCAACATTCGGAAAGCGGTCATTGAAAAGATGATTGCGCCCCTCAATGAAGATCTGGAAGCTCTAGTGAATTCTACGCCCCGTTGCACCTCGGCGAGTCGTTATGACACAATAACCAGACGCGTATGTGATGCTGCGGTTCTCGGAAGTATTCATCGCGGTATGATACAACGAAGAGGTAGCATACTTCCTAGAGAAAGCTCCTGTATCATCGACAGCGTTGTACATCTGGCGTCTGAGCTGTTCCCCATTATGGATGAAACCCGGACCTTTGAGTCTCATCATACACCGTGCTCCTTGAAAGACAAGTACAAGAAGCACAACATCACGCTACATGACAGCGTCATCACAATTTCCCGGGAGTTCTTGACATCTGAGCATCAGGCATATATGGCTTCGCAGAGATCAAAGACTGGGTTGGAAAATCAGTCTGCACCTAGCAGGCAACGATACTGGTAGTTGCTTTCAAGACTCTACCGGAAACGGAAGGATAACATTTAGGTTTTCAACTTTTCTTGAAAAGATCAGGGTACGAGACGGAAAGCCATGGGGCAAGGAATCCAGGGTGCAGACGTTTGATCTTACACGGAATACAAACAAGCATGTACGGGTGATTACTGAATGAAGGTGAACTTTGGCAGTGAGAAAGTGCCTGATTAGGGCATGTCGAAAGACGACAAACTGCGTGCCTGAGTGACGCGGACACCTATGTTGAGTGTCCACATCTGTGAAAGTAGAAAGGAGAGTATGAAGGCTTAATATCCGGCTATCACCAATACCGGCGGGTACTAGCTTGAATCTGCTTCCTTTCTGCCTGTGAAGACAACTCGATGCCTGTCTTATTCCTCTGGTTCTCCATATAGCTTTTGTGCCCGGGCTTAATGTGCTTCGCCACAAGACCAGGTAGTTTTTCATGTATCTCCTGGTCAAGAGCCTCATACTTTCTGTGCAAGGAACACTGCGTATGATTTGGCAGAACCTCGATCAACTTTATGTTCGAGAATACGGAAGCTGCCACTTGGACAACGCTGTCTGTCTTGATGGTACCTCTGTTCATCAATGTGAGGCGCTGGTCCATATGGATCATAAGACCACCGAAGATAGCCGCGTCACAAAGGGTTGCGGTGCCCCTCGTCTTCCCGCTGTTATAATTTCGAGAAGCAGAACAGGCCGTTCCATAAGGGGGATATCGCCGAGATACTAGGTCATCATCAACAGCCATGGCAATTATGAAGAGCACTTTCTTTCGAATTGATAGTAGGACATCTATGGAAAATCTGGCATTAGTCAATCGGAACTAGCTTCGGTCCGGAATGTGAATATCAAACGTACCAATGATATCATGTGGACCGAGGTAATCTTGATGCTCAAGAACAATCCACTCTTCATCTTCAGCCTCAGAACCTCCTGCCAGACCGGGCTTTCTGAAAAGGTTCACTGCCTGAATGGACGGGAAGCTGTCTTGGGGGCTGGTATTGACGGAGATCTCCTCAATCCTTAGAGCGAAGAGGTTCTCATCTCCTAGCTCCCATGCCACAAACAAGGACTTAAGAGTGTCTTCCGAAGATAGGTCCCCGTGGGCGACCACTGCCCACTGTACACACCATGGTCTCAAAGTGGCAGTTAAATCGTACTTGTTGGTGAAAATCAGAAGGTTGTAGAGCTCGTCGAGATCGAGAGAGTGAGGAATCTGGCTGAACCGTCCGTGTATGATGTTCAGGACAATCTGCAGTGGTTTGACAGAGTCTCCAGGAAGCTTTACAATCCACTCCTCGGACTTGACATTGGCTGGCTTTGATTCCTTCCAAGGACCAAAAAGCATCTGTTTCCAGACTGGCGAATGACGGCGGAGCGTGGAGGAGCAGACACGTAGCCGCTGTGGCTGGGACGATTCAGAGTCTTCGTCTCCCCCTACGTCCAACAAGAGATCTCCCTCGGCGTCGATGTTGATCACGTTGCCATGTGGCAAGGTCGAATTTTCCATTTCGTTCGTGACTCTTGAATCCGACCCATCTGTAGCAGTTTCCATCGCAGGGGAACTGTCGCCAAATAAATCTTCTGTGGATATTGGTAGAGTGGTAGTTGTTTCCAATTGAGTTGCAGCAGAGCTGCTGCTGGAGAAGACGGCGATGGCTCCTCCGGTTGTTGAAGCTTCTAGACAAACTTTGTGAGCTGCCAAACAGACTATTACCAGCGGTGGATGCAGTGTCAAAAAGACCACTGGTCGTGGTCAAAGCTGTCAATTCTGGAGGGGGGTTATGGACCCTAACAACCCACTGCATGCAGAAGTGTGACCTGCAGCAGCTGACACAGAACCAAACAAGCCATTTCCTGTCGCAGAGGCTCCAGCCCCAAATAAGCTGCCACGTGTAGCTGACGCCGCGGCCGGTGCTACTGTTGATGAAACGGGCGAGGGCCCGAACAAACTACCGCCTGTAGACGCAGTGGACGGAAGAGGTCCAGAAGCGCCAGAGAGATGGAGGAGATTGAGTGGTTCCCGGTCCCCTAGCAGCTGCGAAACCTACAGCTGCGGAGGCGTTTGACGTTGTGCTCGGCCCGGACATT